GGACACGATCGCAAGGAGGAGTGTTAGAAAAACGGCTTTCAGCATACGTTGCGCGATCGAATCTCCGGACCAAAAGACGACGTGATTGCGCACACGATGACGCGAAATGATTGCGCACACGATGACGCGAAATGATTGCGCCCAGAGTAACGCCATAGGAAAAGCTTAGAGGTAGCTCGGAGTAGCGAAATAAGGACCCCAATATACTCACTTCATCTTTCTTAGCATGCGGCTCACAATCCGTTATCACGATAAGCACGTTGCCGCAATATTTTTCGGCGCTTGATTTGAAAATAGTTCCATCATATCAGCTTAATTTTAAACGTGATTATTATAAACATATGATAGAACCTAGAATCCTGTAATTGACCTCGACTCGACATCACGTATGCTGTTTGTGGACCTGCTGTAGCAAAATGGGGGAATGTTTTACGCTGGAAATGACCGCAATTCATTGGGACGGCAGACGTTATTACCCCAGTGCGAACAACACGACATCTCTGTCACCTCGACTACCGATACAATTTCTGTTACAGCTTTGATATCAAATGATGGTTTAACCTGCTGGCTGACGCCGCTTCCGATATAGTTTGGATTCTTCAGCTAATAATATTGTTACCCTACTAGAATAAGGCCAAGATGATTAGTAGAACTTTGGCGTTTAAACCCCCATTTATTACCCCCATTTGTTTGATATGGGTTTGCATCAGCCTTAACAAGATTAAATTTCTAGTTGACCTACAAAATCAAGCATTGAGATTCATCGCTTTCTTCCAGTAATCCGGAATCGCGCTCGATTTCCTTTATAAGATAAGTAAACACCTCACCTGCAAAGATGCGTCGGCACATTACAGAATAGTATCAATGTGAATAAGCTACATGTCTTCTAAGTGTGTTGAGATTAGCGTACTAATATTTTCGTTGTCTTTCGCCGAACACTCAACAAAAGGACATTCCCAATTGCCTGCTAGTGTCTGACCTTCTTCTACCGTCACCTCTCTAAGCGCATACATCATAAAAATGCCATCAGCAAGTCATATCGTAGGAACAACCAGTAGCACTCACCTGCCCTTATCTAAATCCGACATGCTGCCTACGAGTACGCGTGGCGGCTTGGAGCCCAACATATTGACCAATTTCTCATTTATTAGTTTGAGTTTTTCAAACGACGTTCGCGAGCCGATCGAGTAGACAAGCACGTAGCCATGCACGCCCACTGAAGCCGCTTGCGAGAAGTTTGCGTACTCATCCTACAATCACATCAAATGCTCGTTAGTGCCTTACACTTTATTCCCTACAATAGCCACTTTGATACTCAGACCATGCCCGCAGTATCCACAATGTCTGTCACGAAGTGCGCGTTGCGAACTCGGATAGTCTTGTGAAATGTGTTCTCGATGGTCGGATCGTAATTCTCCACAAAGCGGTTTTCCACGAAGCACGTCGTAAGCGAAGACTTGCCCACACCTGGATAACCCAGCACAGTCAATTTACGCTGCACTTCGACCGGCATCTTGGATTACTCCTCGGCTTTCGATAATTCTGACACCTATTTTTAGCCGGCTTTTATGTGAGATACGGACTGGAATAAAAGCTATAATATGCACATTTATAGTAATATTCTTATCAAGATTTTTATCTTAGCTTTGACTGTTGTATATATGCAAAAAATGCAGTAAACAATTGCCTTGGACATGACGGCTCGCTGGACTATTGTGCATCTGATGCTGTAGGCCACTCATGTTAAACACAAGTCATCAAATCTCCGTCCGTTTTGATTCAGATGATACCAGCTTCGAATAGATTAATTTGAGCATGATTTTGTCCCATTACATCAAGACACGTTTACTAATAAACAGACGCACAATTGTTCGAGCACACAAGGTGAGTTTGAAGTGTCACATTTGAGTCTCAAAGGATCAACGTAAATCAAATACAATGTCAATATTCCCAAATTTATAAAAACGATTTCTATTTTTTACTCACTAAACATCCCCCCAGTGTTCATGGACTAACTCATTCTGCTAGATGGATTGCCGGAATGATTTAATACTTCCAGTTTAAATGACTCTGACCACGCCAGGTATGGCCATCTTCGGAAGTGGTCCCCCTTTCGAGGCTCAAGCTTTTATGCGTGCTGAGCAAGTGATGCGTTTTTTGCCAATGTGAGTGTAAACCCATCACTCACGTAAAAGACACTGTATGCATCGCCTATGCCAAAGATACGATTGCTTCACTTTAATTCTATTTGAAGAGTCTTCACTTCACTTTGTAGACTTCCTATGTGATGAGAAATCTGAAAGCTTAATATTAGGCTAATTAATACATTAACGGACAGTGCAACTTACCAATAAGCTATTAGGAACAATTTTCAACAAACACGCATATTTTAAGTGATGAACACTTTTTGATGGTTTACTTTTTGTGGATGCGATCTTGAAAATGAGATGAGTGCCTCAGAAGTTACCGAAATTAAATTATGGCAACTTTTGCGTAACGCTCTTTGCATCTCCTTCGATGTCGGACAAATATAGAGAGCGTGGACATCGGACCAGCTTGCATGCAGTCAAGTTCAGCATCGCAATTAGCACCCACAAGCACGAATGAGTAGTTTGATCCACCCGTCCAATTTCAGTATCGAGGCTTCACGAGACTCGAGCGCAAAGCATCAAAGGGGTTAGTAATTTGAGCAAAGGGATTACGGCAAAATGTTTGTTTGCCTTCCAAAAGGTTTGTTTGGCTTTTTTTTGTCGCTGGGAACTTGTTTCACACGACACTTTAATTTCTGTGACGCTATGTATAGGACGTGGACACGTCTGTTCACATTAAACATTCAGCGGCACAACTCGAGCGAAAGTGGAAGGAAGTTATGAGTGAGTGTGCTGGAGCAGGGGAAAGCTTATCGGTCTCAGTCCAAAGCATAACGACGGATATGCGATGTCGCCTTTGTTTGATATACCATCAAGTGCCAGCTTCTTGAGAGCAAATGATACAAGTTTAATTGAAAAGTGAGACGGTATTCCATACAGCGGCAGAATGCATCACAATCGCTTACACATGTGTCTACACATTCGATTATGACCCGAGAAACCAGCAATTTAACGTCGGGTACTTTCAATAAGTGCGGATCTGGTATAGATTTTCAGCAATGCAGCCTAGACATCAAATCAGAGTATCATCTTCGCTAATGCTGGCGAGTTTGTTTGTCAGTTAAAAAGCTGCAATTGTGCATCATATTGATTGTGCTGATAACGGATATGTCATCACAAACTGCATTCATGACAGCGTGAGTGCGCAAACGCCAGACAGTAAGTAAGTACATTGTTAGGAAGCTGGTTGGTGCCAAAGTTCAAATGCTCAAATGAACAATTTATATAAACTTAGTAAGTAACTACACATTGCAAAAAAACAATTTATTGTAACAACCAGATGTTATCACCTGTAGCATAAAGTGGCAGAATGATTGAAGGTCGTCTTGAGTAGTGGTTCATCAGCAAAGGCTGCTCAAAAAGCTGCAACTTGTAACTTTTAGAAAGCTCTTTGAGAACGAAGGCATGTTTGTGGACGAGCAATGATTAAGTTTGCAGCTTTTTTTGCTTGTCAGGAGGAATCTCAGTGACGACATGGCAAAAAGTTCTGTTTGTAGCCAATTACTAGAAAAAAAATGTAAGGTTGTTTTGTTTGAATGTTGACCCGAAATGACATAACACATCATTTAAACAACCAATGCCCGATCTGATCGCAAACTTTGCGTGATCCCATTTGGCCGAAAATTCCTTTGACCTGGCCATTCATCGTTGTAGACGCGGGGCTTAGTAGCCTTACTATTACATTACTACATTGAATCTTTATCCCTGATCGGATAAGCTTTAATCTTCGGATATTGAGGCTTTTCAAAACGCGTCACCAGTCTTGTTCGTTTGTAGAATGTACCCCCCACTCCACAGTATATGTCGACAATACTGATTGTCCTCCGCTTCTGATAGGATGTCAAGGTTTCCACCGATGATAATCAGCATTTTGGCATCTAATCAGCATTGTATAAAACTCGGGCAGGCCCCTCAATTATAGCTACTTTCTGGTACGTTTTTTGCGCTCTGTGATGCATTGTTGCATACGTAATCATGTTTGAGAGGATTCTATATATAGTATTTTCGTAAGATTCACCTTTTTTCAAATATAACTTTTGTCTTTGACATAAAATTAGATTGATGGCACATCAACATGAGCAAATGGAATAAATGTTGAACCTGTCTCCCTCTCAGACTCGTTAGAAAAATTTCCGTCGTGCCGTGTTTATGTGCATTTAGGTTTTTATACTGACGAGGTTTTATCGCTCACAACAAAGATACTCCACAATCTAATTTGCTAGCTCTCCCTTCCAACAAGCTATGACTGAAGTTAATATCGGTATCAACGGTTTTGGCCGGATCGGCCGTCTCGTGTGTCGCGCCGCGATTGAAAATCCTAAGACCAAGGTTGTGGCCGTTAACGACCCGTTTATGGATCTAGATTACATGGCGTATTTATTCATGTATGATTCGACCCATGGCAAATTCGATGGATCTGTCGAGACCAAGAACGGCAACCTAGTGATAAATGGTCAAGTTATTCAAGTCTTCTCCGCACGTAACCCGTCGGAGATCCCGTGGGGTAAGGCCGGAGCTACGTACGTATGCGAGTCAACAGGTGTGTTCACCACAACGGAGAGTGCTAAGGCTCATATTGATGGCGGCTGCAAAAAAGTTGTGATTTCGGCGCCACCTAAGGACAACACTCCCATGTATGTGATGGGTGTGAATCACAAAGACTATGACGGCTCGGCTCCCGTCGTGTCAAATGCGTCGTGCACAACGAATTGTCTTGCGCCCCTGGCCAAGGTGATCAACGACAAGTTTGGCATTGTGGAGGGTCTGATGACGACCGTGCACGCGACGACGGCCACGCAGCTCCCTGTTGACGGTCCTAGCAGAGGCGGAAAAGACTGGCGTGGTGGTCGTGGCTGCGGTCAGAATATCATTCCGTCGTCAACGGGCGCAGCCAAGGCCGTGGGCAAGGTATTACCGGTCTTAAATGGTAAATTGACGGGCATGGCTTTCCGTGTCCCAACTCCGGATGTATCTGTGGTAGATTTGACGTGCCGCCTGGAGAAAGGAGCTTCAATGGACGCGATCAAAGCTGCCGTAAAGGCTGCTTCGGAAGGTGAATTGGCTGGCATCCTTGGCTACACGGAGGACCAGGTGGTGTCAAACGACTTTCTTCATGACAAGCATTCGAGCACGTTTGATGCGGACGCTTGCATTGCCCTTAATGACCACTTTGTGAAGCTTGTCGCGTGGTATGACAACGAGTGGGGCTATTCAAACCGCCTGGTGGATCTTGTGCTGTACATGGCTACCGTGGATAAATAAATCCTGGCTAAAGATCTTTCGGAAGTCTTCGTGCGAAGCTGCGATATCGCTCGTGAGTTTTCATCGGTGAAAGTGTGCTTTTTTCCTGTAGACTTCTAGCTGCTGCAGCATAGACGCGAAGGATTAATCTTTTTCAGACACAACGTAATATGAGCAATGCTTATTGATGCACACAGATGATTGCCATCAGATCTTTACCTAAAGTTTCTTCTGCCTTTTTTAGTAGTAAAAGGCAATAAATTTAGCCTATAATATACTTTTACAAATTAATCGATGGGTGCCAAAATTTACGCGCGTTATCGTTGGCGCGGGAAAACTGCACTTCAACGAAACGAGTTTTAACGAGTGTCAATTTAGGCTCATGAAGCGAAAGTCTCAAAGCTCTTCTAACACAGCTAGTCGTCGTGCTCGCGCTGTCTCTCCTCCGTCCTCTCCATCCTTCTCTCGTCGTGAAGAGAGTAATATTGACGCCGTACCTCCCGCCATCGATGTTCCGCGAGGGCGTGGACAAGCTAATGTCACACGAGAACGCGCACTTTACTTTGCAACAGGTGAAGTCGTGGCACCTGCCTCTGCACCTACCGAAGAGACAGAGTCTTGGCCAGGCTACTATGCGACCATTCGAGAATTAAGTAATAATCGCCAGGCCGCGCAGGACGCACGAAACCGTCGCCAGCCCGTTGAGGAGCTACCCAAGATCGTGTGGACGCCTAAACGATGTGCCCGTGCGTCTGTCCTTAGACATGATTACAAAGTACAACGACTAAGAGACCTTGCGCTTAAAAGTCTGGCAGAACATATCGAGCAGCTACCCACTCTTGAATACATTGACGCTACTGCACGTCATCAAGTCGCTCGTGCTGTCGTGAAGCTCCGACGCCTTAAACCCGAGGTTTTGCCGCTTTTCATTTTTCCTGGAGTCACAGAAATTGACATTCCAGATTGCTCTAACATTGATGAAGACACGTTGATCTGTGCGCTTAAAAAGTGTTCAGCATTGTCGGTGTTGAGACTTGGACTGTGTGGGCGTTGTGTCTCAGACAATGTCATCCATGAGCTTGGAGACGCATTAAAGTCCGTGGAGCAATTACAAGTGCAAGGATGCTATCGACTCTCTGACGCGGGATGCGAAGCTCTCGTCCGTCGATGTGCGCCATCGTTGGACTCGTTCGAAATCTCTTGCAATCAGCGAATGACGAAAAAGTCGATTGATTATTTTAGTGAATTACAGAACTTGCACTCGTTGACGTTATCTGAGTGTCCGCAGATTGGCGATGCCAGTTTAGAATCTTTGAAGACCATGCACAATCTTAGGAAGCTTCAGCTCAATCAAATGGAACGACTGACCGACGATTTTATTGTCTCAATTTCCCAAAGTTTGCAGGACCTGGAAGAATTCTCGGTATCTCGATGCTCCCAACTGACTGACGTGGCGGTTAAAGGAATTTTGAACGCTTGTCGACGTTTGAAAGTACTGGATGTGTCGGATTTGCATCTTATTACAGATGAATGCTTCGAGCTTGTTCGTGAACATGGACACGCTCTACGTCACGTTTCTTTGCGCTGTTGTTTGAATTTGACGGATATTGCGATTCAACATATTGCCTTTGGTGCTAAATTGTATTTAGAAATATTAGAAATGTCCAGTGTTTCGGTAAGATTTCTCCTGCGTTGATAGTGCTGACAATAATGTTCTCATTATGTGTTCATGTACTTCATAATTATAGCAAGCTACCGATGATGCTGTGATGGCGTTGCTTGAACACTGCGCTACTAGTATGACTGCACTCGATATCTCATTCTGTCGAAATATCAGTGAAAATGCATTGGGGATGTTAGCTGACGGTGCTGAAAACCTTCGCTTCTTGGTGCTCTGGGGTTGTACACAGGTATGTACGTATTTTTACCTAAACAGTGGCTGCGATTTACGTGAGACATTGCATTGGTATGCATGAAGGTTACTGCTCGCTTTTTGACTTGCCATTCCCAAGACGATTTGATAGTCACTGGGCATCCACTACTAACAGGCCTCTCGATTCGGTACTAATCTTCGCTAATAATCCGTTTTTTATTTCTTAAAGTTCTTTGGGTTTATTACAATGTCTATGTGGGAGACTGCGGAGAATTATTTTGAGCATGATTTTTACTCTCGGGACAGGGCGATTGAAACAGAACAGGCAGCTGGTAATTGACGGGAATGATGAGATGGCAAAGCTTATGAGCGGCGTATCTCAGATTTCATGGGCGTGATTGAATCAATCGTGAAAGTTCGGGCTGTGCTTTGCTGATTCGATTTCGAAAGCAAGTCTCAGATTCTTTACGTGACATGGGGTCGCCCATGTCGCGTTGTGTGGGGTTTTCTTCTCTGTTTCGACCGGCACAAGTTCATTTGCACTCTCTTACTGAAGAGTGAATTGGATGATGGAGCGCTACCCCCCATACGAGCGCAAGAAAATGTCGAGAAAGTAAGTGACCTCAATATAATCTAAAGAAAATGAAGAGTAATATTGATCTATTTGCAGAGCAAAAGCATCAACAATCACTACTCGACCTCGTAGTGAAGGTTTGCGATGGACACCTGAAGAAGTATACAATAGTTGTCTTGATTATTGCTTACATGACAATAAGAAACTCAAAATATCTTGTATGAAGGACACATTACTCCGCGATGGCGTCTGTAAGTTCGGGGGAAAAAAATGGAAGACCATATCTGAACTTCTTGAGCGACGAACTCCGGAAGACTGCAACAAGCGTTGGAATAAACTGCAAAGTCTTGACTCAGTGGTGAAGCGGCCATGGACGCAAGAAGAAGATGCGCAGATGTTTGAGCTAGTCAAGAAGTATGGTGCAAGCAAGTGGGCGGTGATTGCTTCGTACTTGACCGGCCGAAATGGCAAACAATGCCGTGAACGGTAGATATTAGTAGCTGCATGATTTCTTATATAAACTTGCTGACACTTATTTAAATTAGCTGGCACAATCAACTGAATCCATCAATCAAAAAAACGCCGTGGACAGAGGAGGAAAATGCAATCATTTTAGATATGCAAGCTCAATTTGGCAATTGCTGGGCTAAAATTACATCTCGACTGCCTGGTCGAACTGATAACGCTGTAAAGAATCACTGGCACTCGTCGCTGAAGACTCAAGCGAAGCGTGAACGAGGAGAATGTGGGAATCAACCCGTCAGACGTACTAGATCGAAAAAGAAATCATGCAAGTCCAAGTTGTTTCGTTCTACGACGAAGTCTTCTGACAGCTTTTTCCCAAACACAGAAGTACTTAGTTTCACTGATCAAAATGTTGTCGTGGACGTGATTGGGGCTTCTTTTACTCCAGCTGGTTCCTCAATGGCCGACTCCATGGAAAGTGCGGTTAATTTTTTCGGCACGCCGATCATCAATGATGACCAGTCCGGATCCCTTTCTCCAGATGTTGTATCGAGCGTCGATAAATTAGACCCGTACACTTACGCTCAATCTCATCAAGTAGACGTGCAGCGAGCTCAAGCTGTCATCGACAATATTCTCGATCCAATGGGAATGGATAGTTTTGCTGCCAGGAGTTTAAGCTCGCTTTCATTACCGGAGGTGTGCTTTAGTCAAGCAACAATTGACCATTCTAAGCTGAAGTCTATGGAAGCATGGGGTTTAAACAACGATGAGATGAGCTGTTCAAGTGACAAATTGTCCGAGTTGTCTATAGACACTGCGTTGTCAGCACAGTCTTCTTTCGGCTTGGACGAGTTATTATATGATTCATTTCATGACGTCTGTGGAGACAATGCGTTTCAAGAAACAAGCGGAGTAGAATCATCTGCCGGTCTAATCTCAAGTACTCCGATAGGTGAAGTCACACAAGGAATCAGCCGATCGAATTGGGGAGCGTGCGTCACGAATATATCTCCGAAAACGACAATAACAGAACCGGTAATACCGTGCGCTCCATCTCACGTTGGGTCAAACCTGTCGCCCATCAATCAAACAGATTTGAGACTGACAGACGAGTTTTCGTACGATGGCGAGATCCATAATCTCTTGTCCCAAGAGAGTGGGTATGCTCAGCAATTCTCTACGCTCTCGTCTCTGCTCGACGTGGAAGTGTAGCTTGTTGGGACAGGCATATAATCATCATGTTTCTCGCGCGTGTAAAAGTAGCGTTTTAGCGTTGACTTGTATATCTGCAATGGTAGTCATTCGCCTTCGTTTTAC